GAAACCCACAGGGCCCGTTCGACCCTGTCCTACTGTGGGTCCGAATGGACCCAGTGGCCACGAGTTAGGGTTCCTGAGCTGAAAGAGACGTCCCTTAAACAGGTGCTCATGAAACCGGAAGTTGCACACGCCACACTCGGGCAATGTGCACACATATGGCCGTTCCTGGTGTCCGCCTGCCTCATTCAAACAGCCCTGTGTGGCTGTGCTGCCCAAGGCTGGGGATGCCAACACCCAGCGCATTTTCACTACTCCCCTCCCACCCCCACTCCCCCCGCGAACGCCGGCAGCAAAACCTGCCACTGCCCCCTTTCTCAAAGGCCCCGAGGGGACACTGTCACTCCTGCTTGGCCCACTGACCTGCTGCACATCCTGCTGGAAGACACAGAGCTGCAGCCGCTGGTGCAGCCGGACCTTGCGGTGCTGCCAGATGTTCTCGAGCTGCCGCTGGTGGTGCAGCACCTCGTGGATGACGTCCAGCACATGGTGCACCGCCTTGGAGTAGTTGGCAGAGGCCGTCAGGGAGTCGGAGCTGCCGGGCGTCAGGGGTCGCTGCAGCTTGTCCAGGAGCGACTTCCCGTCCTGGCTCACCTGCCAGGGAGGGGGCACCAGTTACTCCAGCCGGGTGGCACCTGCTCACACCCTCATTCTGACCTGTGTTCACACATGCTCACACACGCACTAACTCACACATGCAAGTTCACACCCACACTGACGCATGTTCACAGACGTGCACACACACTGACATAAGCTCACACACCTAACACATGCCCACATCCACAGACACATGTGCACACGCATGTATCCTCATGCACACTGATACTTGTTTGCACACATTCACAAACAGGTTCACAAACTCACACGCTCACAGGTGTTCGTCCATACGGAAATGCTCACAGACACAAACACGTTCGCACATGCGCACACGCACACGCACACACACACTCACACACCAATCTGTCTTGGAAGAAGTTCATCCAGAGTGCTCCTTAGAGGCAAGGGTGGTGAACTTTGTCTCACATACTTTGGACACGTTGTCAGGAGAGACCAGTCCCTGTAGGAGGACACCGTGCTTGGTGAAGTGGAGGGGCGGTAGACAGCAGGAAGGCCCTTGACCACACAGACTTATCCTATGACTACGAGGGCTCAAACATGGTGCAGGATCCCATGAGGGTCATGAGTATGTGATGGGCTACTAACTGCAAGGTCAGCAGTTCAAAGCTACTAGCTTCTCCAAGGGAGAAAGCTAAGAGTTACAGTCTGGGAAAGAATTACAGTCTCGGAAACCCACAGGGGCAGTTCTACCCGTCCTAGCAAGTAGCTACGCATCAGAATCGACTTGATGGCGGTGGGTCGGGTCTGGTCTGGTCTGGTCTGGTCGGGTCTGGTCTGGTCGGGTCTGGTCTGGTCTGGTC